CTTTCCTGCTACTGCTTTCCTCTAAACGGACTTTTCCCTGCTCCCCTCCTCTCTGATAGGGCATCACTTCCTCGTCCTCCACTATTGGCATGGGGCTGTCTCGCAGCTACAGCACGGTCAGTTCCTGTACAAGCCTCTAGTTACCTTCAGAAGTAAACCTTCCCCTCTCTTGTGGCCGCATACATCTGACAGGATGCCTAGGGTAGCTAGGACCCTGTTTATATTTAGCTCCTGGACCCTGAGCCACTTAGCAGTGGCCAGTAATTTGTACTTCATTTGGATAAGGCAGGAGTTTGTGTGAAGCCAGGGCTTTTGTTGTAGAACACTGAAACAAGTAGCCTTCTTGTCATTTCTGTTTATTTCATGGCCCAGAGAAAATCATTTTGCTTGAATCTGATTAGTTAGTGCATGAAAGATTCATATTCCCTATTATGCTTTTCTGAGTCCTGCATTGTCTCCTGCGTGTGCCCTCAGGCCTCCATTCATGATGACACTGGTCTTTGTGGCTTTGGCTACAGTTCAAGAGCTGTAAGTCATCTGAATATTTGACACAGTGTTTCAACAGTGTACTGTTGTGCCTGTGGGCTGATGTCTGTCTTCATGCTGATCCTCTACCCTGTCCTCCTCCTTCAATCCACAGCCCTCTGAGCATAGCTGGTACTCCTCTGGAGCCAGTTCCACTCGCAGCAGCCCTGCGGTGAGCACCTTAAAACCACCGCCACCTCGAATGATGTCAGCTAACACCACACACAGACACTCACTGCTAACAGGCTCCCCCTAGCCTCTTCTTCCCTCATCCTAGGGATAATTTTGATCACTCGCACCAAACTGGCTACAGCTTACCTTAGGGAACAGCATCTGTGATTGACATTGTGTGAATTAAGAATTTCTTCTGCAGTGCTGTGCAGACTAAGATGTTGCAGTAAGGTTCTCTTATGTTGATGCATTTGAAAAATTGATCCTAATTGCATGAATTGGCATTACCCATAGGGTTGCAGTCTTCAGAGTAATCCAGTAGTCTGTTAAATGCAGACTTCTACTGGATGTCTATGGATCGTTGTTTGAATAAGAACTGTGTGTATGTCAATGAAAGCCTTGGGCATGCAGCCATCTTACATTACTTGGGTTCCTCAACATGTGCGTATGTGTGCGTTTCTGTTTGTATGTGTGTGTATTCCTGCCAGACTTCCTCAGATGATGATACTGTAAGCAGCGTGTCCCAGGAACACCGCAGCAGAGGCCGCAGGGACAGTGTGGTGAGCTGTAGGGACTCAGCTGGACAACATCCAAATTGACTTATGTCACAGTAGTTGATCTGTTGTATCACCCTTTCCTTCTGTCCTTTATCCTTTGATTAAACTCTTTGGCCTTTTGTTATTTCTCCATCTCTATCATCTTCCTCCTTCCTTTCTCCTTTCTTCCTTCCTGTGTGTGTGCTATAAGCAGTCGTCTGACTTCTCAGATATTAATGAGTCGGCTGCTGATTATTTCAGCCGCTCCAACCGAAGGGGCAGTATTGTGTCTGACCTCGATGATTTGAGCATTCCAGATCTGGACACTGTAAGTGGCTAACCTCACAACAGTGGACTGGGTATTGCAGTGCAACACTGATGACAAATGAACTATTTTAGAACTTATCCATGATTAAAAATGACTGTGCTTTTTATTAACAACCTTATAAATGAGTAGATTGCTATGAAGGTAGCTGCAGTGGATGTGACAGTAGTGCTGCAGGAGCAGCATGGGCTCGATAACGTCTTTAACAGAGTGGTGTGATTCACTCAGTGCTTTATTTGCTTGTTTGTTTGTCAACTCTGTATGATCTGTGAACATGCAGCACTTATCCCAGACTCACTGAATCCCGGATTAACTCCCTGATTTACAGATGAGGAAACGGCACCGAGCATGACCGCACATGGTGTGTATTCTCACAATAATCTGTATCTCATCTTAAAAAAAAATGTTTTTTTTTTTTCTTTCAGCTGGATGAAAAATGTGAGAAACAGTATTCAGAATACAGTCGGGTGAGTGTGGCATTATTTTGTATTTTACTTTACTCATTCAAATTTTTCACCAAGCACCTAGTTGGTTTTTATCAGGGAGTAGTAAAACTCAGTAGCTACATAAGTAGAGTTCCTACACTCCAGGCCTATGTAGAGACGCCAGTATCGTTGGACACAGTTGTTTGGTCAACAAAGCCCTTCCTTCCTTTCTTTCACTCCCTCACAAAGTGAATAAGAAAATGGAAAAAATGACATATGTTGCTCAACAATGATTGATTATGCCTGATAACATATGTCATCACAGAAGGCAATAGGTTAAATCATACACTGAGCTGTTAATTAGTAGGTAGTTGCACAGTAACCTCAGCAACACATCAACGGAGAAGCACAATGCTGCTTTTAAACCCACAGCCTCTGGTGATGGTGAACTAGATTGTCAGGTTTAACTCTACTTCAGCACGTGATGATGCCTCCCTCAGGAGGAGCTGAATATGGCGGGGTCATTTTTAGGTGGTGTGAACAACAAGTCAGAATTGTACTGTTTTTGTGTTTTGTTCTGACTGGAGTTTTGTGTGTGTGTGTGTGTGTGTGTGTGTGTGTGTGTGTGTGTTCCCAGCCGTCATCCCCCTGTGCCACC